AAGTTTACACAAGCACAAAACAGATAAAAAGGGAAAAACAGATAAAAAATAATTTTTTTACAAAATTGAAGAAAAGCAAGCTTACTTCCACTCATTCATCCTTCGACTGATCATTCTGGCTTCTTAGAGCGAGCCTTGATTCACACGCTTCAATTGAACATTTGGCTTTCCTTCTAACAAGCTTTCCATAAGCTTCGACAAAGCATGTGGCCTCCTGTAGGAAAGCTTCAATTCAGGGAGCAATGATCTCCTGCATGCAAGCTTCAATTCAGGGAGAAATGACCTCCTGCAGGCAAACTTCGATTGGGCAATGATTACCTTCTCATAAATCTTCGATTGGAGTATGGTTTCCTTTCAAAACAACATACGTCGAATCCAACTCTGGACCCCTTCATGCATCCTTTGGTCCACAAGTTTCATTCAAGCAATTGCCTTCTGCGTGCTAGCTTCGACTGGGCTTTATGACCTTCTGAAATGTTTCTTCGATTCAGGGGGCAATGGCCTTCTAAAGGTTTTCCATTGTCATAAAGCAGGGATCTCCTGCATGCTGGTTTCGATTGCACCATTGGCTCCTTACGTGTTTGCTTTGAATCACAAGGCATGGGTTTTCCACATGTTAGCATGTGCAAGGCATTGTCACCTACACGTCTCCTTCAAATACACCTATATGTTGGTTTCGAATCAATATTTAGGCTTGTTTCAAATCCATCTTTATTCAACCTACGAATCCTTCTACAAACTTGCACGCACAAGGCAGGGGTTTCTCTCACGCTAGCATCCATAAAGCAATGATTACCTTTTAAATTGCTTTGAATACACCTTCATATCACCTTTGAATCCACCTTCAGGATTGTTTTGAATCACCTTCATATCACCTTCGAATCCAACTGCAGACCTTTCAACACACATAGCGGTGCATTATGACATACAACTCGAGGGCCCATTCGAAGGACTTGCCATGGTTGGGAAACAACTGGTTTTTGTTTACGTTTGAGTCTCGACAAAGTTTTAGGCCTAAGTGATTAAAAGCAAGAAGACTCAGCGGCATATTCAGCTGAAAAGGGTCATTCGAAAGACACACACTTGGTCTATTCGAAGGACACACAACTGGTGAAAATGAATGCTGCTTTGTTAAGACTTGTCGAAGGCTATGGAAAGATGAAGGATTCGATTCAAAGAGTCAAGTTGTCCATAGGTCAGGATACATAGGCCTCCAACTTGTGCCTCACTCCATATTTAATTGTTCTCCAAGCCAACTTTCTCTTGTTGACATCACTAAATTTTTAGAAAGTTCTTGAGCCTTGCGCCTGCCTCTTCTGCACACTTGCCTCCTATAAAATAGGAGTCACCCATCTCAACCAATGATTTTAGTACTTTTATCTTGGTATTATAAAAAAATTGACACAAGTGAATGTTGGCCTTTCAAAGAAACTATATTTTATTCCTTCACAAAGCTGCTCATTCAAAAAATTTTCTCTATAAATAGAGAGTTCATTTGCACATCAAAGGGGTTGAAAAAGAGAAAGAAAGAAGAAAAACTCTTAGGGTTGTGTGGAAAGAATCTTCAAAAACTCTCAAACATTTAACACCCTCCCAAACCCAGAACTTGAAGAAACACCACACTTGTTTCTTTAAAATCCAGAAATAAGCAAACACAAATCAACTTTTCTTAGTTTTCGAATCTAGCCAAAGAAACATCACGTTTGTTTCTTCCCCTTCGAATCCAAGAACACCCAGGAAAATAACTCAAGTCCAAGACCCACATTCCAGCTTCAAGCAAGGTAAGTTCTCTTGACCTTAACCTTTTGTTTTAAGCATAACATGTGAATACTCATTTCTTTTTGTTTCAAGCATTATCATTACCTTTTTTTGTTTGTCTTCGTTTTCACCTTCTTCGTTTGCTTTCTTTGCTAACTATTTTGGTTTGTTTTCTTTATCAAACATTTTTTTAAAGATTTAATCTTGCCATGAAGCAATATTAGCATGGCCTCACCTCATACTACTACTTAGTCCCCAAATGAAAGAAGACAGCAAGAAGGTTGCGTGGGTCGAAGCCTTTTAGGCTTTGTCCTATGCTGTTATCTAAAACGAAAGAGGTATGGTCGAAGGACATATATTCATTTTGCTTTGCAGGTCCAGTCGAAGTAAGCAGAAAAGGGGGTATGGTCGAAGGATACATTCATTTTTGTTTTGCAGGTCCAATCGAAGTAAGCAGAGAAAAATGACATGATCGAAGGATACATATTCATACTGCCTTACATGCCCAATCGAAAGAAGCTGAAATAGGGTGGATCGAAGGAGCATACTGCCTGGGTCGAAAGACTCACTTTTTCTCTTTTTTTTTTTATTTTATTTTTTTATGGTTGCAATAGCTTAGGATTTTATTCTTTGCATTTTTATTACTTTCTTGCAGTATTAGTAATTAGGCTATATGGCAAGATAAAATCAACAAATAGATAACCTTCAAAATTCAAGACAAAAATACATGCAATCAAACACACTATTCACACACATGCACCTCTAGGGTAATATCACTTGTTGGCTCAGAAAATAGTCATGTCCCTCGAATATGGGCATTTTAGCAAAAGTCCCTTGATAAAAAGATCGTAGTCCTTCGATGTCCCTCAATGTTGCCTTCGGTAAACGATCTACTTCATAAACGAAAAATGCTAAAACGTCTCATAGGTTGCCTTCTATAACTATATAATTGACCCATATTTGTCCCTTTACATCCAAAGATAAGGCTTATTACCAATGAATGGTAAGATAGCAATATCAAAAGAAGAGAGAAATGAATAAAATACTTTTGAGTATGGTAGAACGTTCTTAGTTGGTTGCTCATAATCTATTCTAAAAAAACAAACATTTTTCAAACACACCAACACTTTCAAAAACATGAAATATTTTCAAAAAGTCCAACACTTTGTATACATTCTTATAGAGACGAGAATCATTACAAAGTTTGCCTAAACGAAGGCGCTTTTCAAAAATACTTTCAAAATTCACCACAAACACATTTTCAAACAAAAGCAAGTGATCTAGCAAGCAACTAAGAGCCCGTAGATAACTACGGATGAAAAGGGTGCTAATACCTTCATTTTTCATAACCTACCCCCGAACTCAAGAAAATATATCAAAGGTCTTTCCTGTTCTTTTCACTCTTTCCTTATTGGATAAAAGAAAAGTCGGTGGTGACTCTTGCTATCCGCAATAATTACGATCAAACGCAAAATAAACCAAGTTAGTTCTCCCACCGTATTACACCTTTCAACGGATCTCTTTTACAAGCTATAAAAGTAAGACTTGGAAGTTGAAGAAATGTACGAAACAACACTACAACGACAAATCTACCAGTTCAAATCAAGCTCAATAAAACTACATGAAAGCACCGTGCAAACTCTGTAGAGAAATCATCTGTGTACAGTTTTATAAATAAGCAAGGAGTTATTGCTCATATATTGTATTAGAACACTTAGGTGTTTTTCGTTGTACTGAAAAGTCTGTGTAATCTGCTTATCAGAAGCAAATTTGTAATACACTGAAATTACTCAACTGTTGTTTAATGATACCTTGAGAGACTGCGTGAAGGTATGATCTCAAGAAGACTCCTGATACAGCTTGAGTGGATTTGCAATAAGGGTCGATGAACTTATTAAGGGTGCCAATAAGTTTGATCACTTATTGTGGGTTGTCCTGTAATCAGTTTGGTTACAGTGGATTAAGTCCTTGTTGAAGACGAAATCATCCTTGAGGTGGTGGACTCGAGTAGCTTAGTTAACAGTAAACCAAGATAAAAATTATCGTGTTCATTTACTGTTATGTTCTAAGCTAACTGTTATGTCACCAATGAAAATATTTAATTTGGTGAACCCAATTCAACACCCCCCCCCCTTTCTCGTGTTTCTCACACCTTCACAAAGAATGCGACTTCAGATCAATTGGAGTAAACCTTCGGTGGGTCGTCTAAAATGCAACATTGATGCGTCTTTCTCTCATAATATGGTATGTATAGTGCATGTATTAGAGATGACGCGAGTCACTCTGTTGCAGCCCGTACATAATAATTTTCGCCTTATACTGGAGTTGTTATTGGAGAATCTCTAGGCCTTTTGGCATCTATTAAATGAAGTTCATGATCTTGGTTATGATAATATGGATTTCGAGCTAGATGCCAAAAGCGTTGTGGATAGTATGAATACACTGAAACCAAACGATTCAGATTTTGGTGCCATTATTGGAGAATGTAATCATTTGCTAACACTCTTCTTTAGGAACTCTCATATTAAGTTCATTAGGAGACAAACCAATGAGGTTGCTCATGCTTTGGCACAGGCGGCTCCACCTCTTGCTAGTTTTCACAATTTTACTGATATACCAACATGTATTCAGAATATTATTATCAATGATTTGAATTAAGCTTTTCCCGTAAAAAAAATTGAACATTAAATATTATTTTTTTTGTTTTAATTTTTTCAAATAAAAAAAACAAAAGGAATCGAATCGAATAAAATGCGATTCGAAAAATATACGCGCAAAGTAATTCAATAAAACAAACATATAATCATCTCCCATCCAAAATCAGAGTGTAACCGATTACGCACCCTAAAATAAGTTTTAAAACTTAGATTGAGACAATATCAGATGCATTTGGAAGCCAGTTCAAAGCTTCATCCTATAATAAAGTAAAATAAAGCTTGTATGCTATATAATAGGTTGAATGATTAGAATTTTCTTGTAACCCTTCCAATGCAAGTAATGGCACTTATTGAATAATAAATTATGGTGAGGCTGGTAACTGTATAGTAATTGTATCAATTCAAATTTATGTTATATTTATTCAGTTAATAAAACACATTATACATTACATAGTTTACAAACACATAATATAGTTACAGTATTTATTCGTATGGATATTTGTCTACTGACAAATGTAAAGATTATTACTTCATTTACATATATATAGGATAAAAATAAAACATTTTCAAAATTAAAAAATAGAGTTAACAAATTTGAACAGGAGAACCATTCCACTCAACCAAGCATTGAAGAAGAGGATCAATGATTTTTCCCTCACACATGGCTGTGAATAATTTGTCACACTCTTCACCTGGTGAAATGACTTTTTCTCCTGTTAGCATACAAGTCCCCAACTCTTGTCTCACAAACCTATAAAGTGGATAAGATCTGCATCCATTGATCTTGTTTGGAACTCTTGGATTTCCACTATCATATGCATCCCTACTACTTTCAACATCTTTTGGCAAAAGGGTCTTCAACTCATCCTCAAAAGTTGCAATCTTTTGGAAGATTGATGTGTTCAAATTCTTCTCATATTCACCATTTACTAATGCATGATCCACTAACACTTGTCTCAATTTTTGCATCAAAGGATATGTAGCACTACAAGGATCATCAATATAGGCAAACACATGCTCCCTATCAACCACTCTCAACAAGTCCTTTTCACAAAACCTTGAAGGATGGAGTTCTCCATCGTTGACACATGTTGTAAGGGTTCTTTTAGCAACTTGGCTTACAATGTTCTTAATTGAGTTTTTCAAGTTCTCCTCCAAATGTCTTAAGTCAATTGCTTGGCAAAGTGCAATCAAGAATGTGGAAGACATGAGTTGAAGGATCTCAATGGCTTCATATGTTTTCCTAGAAGAAATCAAACCCAAAGAGTTCACATCTTGGTTATGTTGCTCAGCACTCTGGACATGAGTTGTAACTGGGTTCGCAAGATATTGTAACTCGGAACAATAAGAAGCCATGGCAATTTCGGATCCTTTGAAGCCATAATCCAAGCTAGGATTTCTACCAGCAGAAAGACTTGAAGGCAACCCATTATTGTAAAAATCATTGACAAGCTCAGAGAATTGAGCAAACATGAGTTTACCAATAGATGCAAGAGCCAAACGTGTATTATCCATGGATACTCCAATAGGTGTTCCTTGAAAATTTCCTCCATGCAAAGCCTTGTTTCTTGATACATCAATCAATGGATTATCATTAACAGAGTTAATCTCCCTCTCAATTGACTTAGTAGAGAATCTAATGACTTCAATTAGAGGACCAAGCCATTGTGGCGAAGTTCTAATTGCATATCTATCTTGTTTTGGCTTCTCCAAAGGATCCGTCTCATGAAATTCCTTAGATGCTTTGACATAAGCACTTCCATCCAAAATATGTTCCATAATAGCAGCTGCCTCAATTTGACCAGGATGGTGCTTCAACTTATGTGTCAAATGATCAGTAAATTCAGGTTTCCCTTGCATAACTTCAACAAAAATAGCTGATAGGACTTCAGACAAGACAACCAAGATGTTAGCTTCAAATAGAACAATAGAACCTAAACCAGAACCAACAGAAGTTCCATTAGTAAGTGCAAGACCTTCTTTTGGTTGTTATTCAAAGAAATCAACATTGATTTCAGCTGATTGAAAAGCTTCTTTGGCATCTAGTATTTCTCCATAGAGTCCACGAGCTTTGGAATTTGGTCTTCCAGTTAGCAAACCAACAATGTAAGAAAGAGGAATAATATCTCCAGAAGCAGTGATTGTACCACGAAGTGGTAAACATGGGGTGACGTTGTTGTTAAGGAGCTTGACAAGGGCTTCTAAAATTTCAAATCTAATTCCCGAATAGCCTTGGAGAAGTGTGTTGATTCTCACAAGCATAGCAGCTCTTGTTGTTGTGTGAGGTAGTGTGTGGTTTGACTCACTTCCAGTTCCAAATATTCCAGCACTCAGAAACCTTAAAAGCAAGACTTAAATAGAGTAAGTATGAGGGAAAAAATGTAAAAATATTTTTGCTATCCATATACTAAAAAAAATTACCTGATTAGTTCTTTCTGTAAAGTGCAATGCTGTTTGGTTCGACGGCGACTCGTGGAGCCAAAACCTGTTGTAATACCGTAAGTATCCGTGCCATTTTCCACACTTTCCATTACCCAATCACTACTGGCTTTAACTCCGGTCCTAACGGATTCTGAAAGCTCCACCTTCACACCATGGTTGTGTGCAATGGCAGCCACATGAGAAATGGTAAGTGTCTCATCACCAAGACGGATCACCGGCTTCCGGTATTGTTCCACCATACGCTTCACCTCATCTAAGTGACTCCCTTTCATTGCCTCCGCCACAATACCCCAATTCAAAGGGTCGCTGCTACTCACTTTCATATTAACATTGGTGAACCAGAATGAATCATAACCGGTCTTGTTTTTTGTAATGGCTGCTGCTACTGGTTCCATTTGCGTGTAGATATTTGAGAGAATGGAAATTCAAATGATTATTAAAGAAAATAAACTGAGATGTGAAGGAAGAGTACGTAGTTGAGCTTTATATAGAGATTTGTTTTGCATGTATGTTGGTTTCATGTGTGTGAGTTTGGTAGGTGGGGTAGGATAAGTTTCACAAGATGAACGGTTATGGTTTAGCAACGTGGCATTCTAAGATCGTCGTATTGTTTTGTTTCTTGCTATGGAACAGGAGTAGGACTGAAACAAACACGAGGTAGTTGGTAAGAAATATAGTGCAAGCAACCATGCATGCCCAATACACATTCATATAGTTTTCTACTAGTAATACTTATCAATCATCAATCATCAATCATCAATCATCATTTACTTAAAGAGTGTCTCATTGAACGACTTCATCTTTTAATCATATTTCCTTACATATTAATTATTATGATATAAAAAATGACTTTGTATTTTAGTAAGTACAATTATGCAATATTTGATAGATTGTGGTATATGTTTGTGTACCTATGTTTTTTCTTGGAAATAAGGTCTTTTATGTTTAGGAAATGTGTTTGAGAATATTAGAGGTCTAAATAGAAATTTGATAAGTAGGAGAATTCTTCATAGAAGAGAGAATTTTATATTTTTGCTTGATGAGAAAGTGTGAGATTACATCTCTATTTATAGTACTCTAAGGAGAACTCTAGACACACTAATTTCAGAGAGTTCTCAACTCAAGAGATCTAAAGAGTATTCTAGAAAATATTACAATTATAAAAAAAATATCTACACACTCTAAACACTACAACAATTGTCTAGAAACAATACCCAAAATTACTTAAACCTAACATAACTAAGCCCAAAAAATACAAATATAATTAGGCTCAAATCAAGTTTATAATTTCCGCACCCCCCTTAAACTTGATTTGTGACTCCAAGCATACTCCTTAGCTTCACGAAAGTTTCCAACTTGAGTGGCTTAGTGAAAATATCGGCAACTTGATCTTGAGATATTACATACTTCAACCTTACCTCATTCTTCTCAATGCATTCTCTTATGAAGTGAAAACGAGTGTCAATATGCTTACTTCTATCAGCAGGAGCAAAAACCTCATCATAGTCAATTCCTTGTCTTTGACTATATCCTTTCGCCACCGATCTTGCTTTGTATCTCTCCACGTCTCCTTTTGCATTCTTCTTCGTCTTGTACACCCATCTTACTCAAATTGCTTTGTGTCCTCGTGGAAGTGTAGTAAGTTTCCACATATCATTCTTCGTGATAGACTTGATTTCTTCGTCCATGGTATCTCTCCAATTTACATTTTCAACCGCTTCTTGATAGCTTAGAGACTCACAATCACCAAAAAGGCCAAAAAGGTTAATATCATTTTGGTTTTCAATTACCTCATAAAGCTCTTCAATGCTTCTTAGTCGCGGTGTCCTCTCACTTGAACTTTTTTCATCCAACCTTGGTGTCGGTGAGGCAGGTGGTGTAATGTGTTCCACTATCATCACTACTACAAAACGCATAATCAACAACACCATGTTTATAACGTATTCATATACACCGTAGTAATAAGTTAAAATTTCCGGGCCCAATGAGTTGTTGGATTTATAAACAATAATTTGATGACGGTTGATTTTAAACAATGTAGTAAAAAATGATGTGTAGCACGCTTCGATTCCCAGCAACTACATTTTTTCCATTTTTTAAAGTACATTAAGCGTGTATCACTTATCTCCATTATTTAAAAAATAAATTGTAAATTCCTTAACAACGGTGAATACACAAACCGTTGTTAGAGGACTTTAGTTTTCACTACGGTTTCTTTGTCCAACTGCGATTAAAGGGTCTACTGATAAATTAAAACAAAACTTATTTCGTATTTCTTTCATAAGATGTGTTAGGTGAACAAGCGAGCCAGAGACGACAGAGGTGGCATAATCTTTACTTTCTTCATATCCATTCATTTGGAGCTCAAATATTCACCTTTTTTGTTCATTCGTTTCTTCAACTTCTCAGTACGGTACTCTTCAACATCTTCATTCTTTTTTTTGTTTATGTTATATATGCTCAAATCTTTACGCTCTTTATTCATTTGATTCTTCAGCTTCGAATTACGGTACTCTTCAACATCTTCATTCCTTATGTGCATAAGATTCTACAGCTTTGAAGTACGGTACTCTTCAACATCTTCATTCCTTTTTTCTTTGTTTATGTTGTATATATGCTCATGTCAGTATGAGAGTATATTTTTCATATGCTTTAGTTTAGATTTTCTCTAGGTTTAGATTTTGGTTTGTCATTCACATTATTACACGTGTATAAATTTCAGAAGTTGTTATGTATCGTAGTTGAATGAAAACCGATAGATTAAGTCTGATTTATGAGAAATGAGTTCTTAAATTCCCTAATTACGCTGATAAACATCTTCCTGACAGTAATGGTATCTTTTATTGTTCTTGTGTTGTTTGCATGAATATTAATAAGGGTACAAAGGATGAAATATTTCAGCACCTTTGTTGTGATGCTATATGTCAAAATTATATGATATGGATGTGGCATGTGAAGTGGTGAAAAACACAAGAAGGGGGGGGGGGTTGAATTGTAAAACTGAAATCTAATGCAATGAACAAGATATTTTTATCCTGGTTCGTTTGATCTCAAACTACTCCAGTCCACCCGTCAAGGTGATTTCGCCTCTCTCCAACGAGGTCTTAATCCACTATATTCAACTGAATATTACAGACTGCTTTAACAACTGCTAAAGCCTTCTTGATCCAAACCACAACCCGGTTTGTCAAGGAAACACTTTCTTACAGAGAAATCAAATCTGAGTGTGTGAATGTTTTCTATAAAACTGTATCACAACTGTGATGTATACACAAATTAAAGCTTAGAAACTAGATTGCTAAACAATGATAGAATATCAGAATGTGTGGTGTTTAGCAAAACTGAGAGAAAGAAGATTTTGATCAGCTTTTATGCGTGTAGAGATTTGGAGAGCATTAGCCATTTCAATCTTCAAAGTCTTGTTTATACAGCACTGAGATGATGAACGTTGGATGCAATATTCTTGATTCAATGCTATTAACAAACTTTCCTTATCGAGCAGATCTTGTCTAGAATGAGGCCGTTGGAATTAATTTGCTTTCAATGCACAGTACCATTGCTTACTTAATGCAAGTTCTGGCTTGGCTCATTCTGACTCTGCTTCGCTGCTGATGAACTGTTGTGTTTCTTTATCAGAGTGTTGAGCGCAGTCTTGTTCATCAGGCTTCAGCATGTACGTGAGTTGATCATCTGATTCTGACATTCTGATATGGCAACTTCTGATGCTGGTGTCAAGAACCAAATTTTGATGCTGATTAGATGTGATCTTGCTTATATCAATCAGAGTATCTGCAAGTCAGAACATAATAATTTTAGGCAGCAGATAGTTCATACATGAATCTTATAAATAATATATCTTTTCACTTTGTTATCATCAAAACTTAAATATAGGGTAGTAGATTCAAACTTTGTTCTAACAATCTCCCCCTTTTTGATGATGACAAAAACTAGATATTTTTAAATGGAAATAACGTGAAAAGGTTTCTGAGATATGCATCAGAGTGAGAAGTAAAAAGGATAAGGAGTAAAAAGCTATCAGAGTTGAGAGATACTCCCCCTGAGTTTATTACTTCCCTTTGATTACAAGTGTTCTTCAGGATCAGATCTTTTTGCCTTTCTTTGAACATCAGAGTGTCAGAGTCTTTGACTATTAGAAGCTTTATGTCAGAGCAGAGCTTCAGAGCTTTTTCTTGTCAGAGCTTTGCTTTGGATCAGAGTATCAGAGCGGATCAGAGCTTCATAGTGATCAGAGCTTCTAGTCTTCAGCGTGTTCAGGAGCTTCCTTGTACCTATAGACTTTAAGCAAAACAGAAAAATATTTTCAAGTAATAGAGTTAGAATGTTTGAGAATTTCTGTCTAGTTAGCCGTTATTGTTTAAAATATCATTCTTGTTCTCCCCCTTTTTGTCAGCAATCAAAAAGTGTAGGTGAGTGCTAAAACAATTTAAGATCAGAAAAACTAATCATATTAAAAGAGTTCAGAAAATCAAAGAAAACATGACAAGGACATGAATGAAAAAAGACTAAGGTTGAGGAGGCAAGCGTGTGAACAGGTTCTCCAGCATGGCTTGGATCTTTTCAGCAGTCTCATTCTGCTTGTGCACCATGCTGACAACAGTGTCAATCTTGCTATCCTGCACATCCATTCTTTCTTTCATCTTCTGGTCGCTTTCATCCATCCGCTGCTGCAGACGCATGTCATTCAGCCTTAGTTCTTCCAGAGTCTGCCTGTCCAAGGCAGCTTGAGAAGCATCAGAAGCAGGGAGCTTCTGAGAGCTTTCAGCAACATCTTTTGCTTGACTTTATTCAGCTTGAATGGTCTTGTCTTCTTCTGATTGCACCTTTGAAGCTTGCAGTTTCTCAGACCAAGGTTCACTATCTAGAGGGAGCACGTCTTCTTTCAGAAGCTGACTTCCAACTTCATTCAGAAGCTTGCTGAAATTATGTTGTGCCTGCTCATAGTTGATATCCTGCAACTTGAGGGCTTCAGCACGTACCCAAAGTCTGAATTGTGACCAGAGCTGATCAGAAGCAGCCGGGTCAATCATTCCAGGACAGACTTGCTTCAAGGAAGAAATCCATTGTTGTACACCTGTTTCAAAATTCATAATACCAGAGCCAACATCTGGTTGTTTTGGTTTTGGGATGGCAATTTTATGTTTCAGATCAGCAAGACGGTCAAGACTGGTTAAGTCTATGAAAGTCCTGTTGGGGTTTTCAGAGGTTTTCTGGGCAGCTATTTGTTTTGGAGAGGGAGTATCAGAATCAGAGATTATGATTGGACTGGGTGGTGTTTTGGGAGTATTTGGTGGTGTAGATTCTGATGAGGATGGCAATTGTGCTTAGGTGATAGTTGTTCCACCTGGCAGCTGGATTGCCAAAGGTGATGGTTGAG